TGGCAAAAGCTGCATTCAAAGCCTACGAGAGAGCAGCCTGAAGTGCCTCCTGAACTAAACGACGAATTGCATCGGAAGGCAGATCGCTGCCAGCCATTGCACTCGAAGTGGAGGAGCTTCCTGATGAAGAATTATTCTCGACTACAGCATAGGTTGGGCCGCCAGCTGAGGACCCAGAATTCACACGCTTGCCACCATAATCAGGACGACAACCACCTTTCCTTTCTATTGTCTTACATTCAAGAATTATATGGCCAGCTCTCTTGCAATATATACATATATTTCTTTTCTTACAATGTGGCTGGATGTGGCCTATCTCATGGCAAAAATGACAAGTGAGGGTGCTTGTACCTTGGGACTGGAACTGGGGGCGATTATTGCGACCTTTACCTACTGCAAATGCAGCATCACCAGCAGGAGAAAGGTTGTCAATCTGGGCCTGACTCCGCAATCTCGTTTTTCTTCACGTAACAGTTCACTGAGCACCTCATCAAACTCAGTAACCCCGCGATGTATAATCGAAGCACGAACTATCTCAAACTCGGGGCGGAGTTTCATGATGAACTGCATAAGGCGAGATCGATTTCGTTCCTTGATGACCTGTGGAGTAATAGCTTCGGGAGAGAGAGAAGCCATAAGAAGATCAAACTATGTCCATAAATTGAGGCTAGCCTGATAATATCCCCTTACATCATAATCGCCCTGTACCAGCTTGGCGATTGCAAATTCTAGATCAAATTGTCTGGAAGAGTTGGCCTGGGAATACGTCTTGCAGATGCGGGACCACATCTCATGTGCCATCGTAAACTGATGCAAGGCAAGGGCAGTCTAAACATCCACAGAGCTTGCGAGCGATGAAATAACCTGGGGGTTAGCCATAGCCCAGTCCGCACGTTCCTTCGCCGGTGCGGTATCAGCCGGTTGCAGCTGAGTCCCGGCCAGAATCGGGAGCAGCCCTTTGCCAGCAATAAAATTCCCGAATTGGAATTCCCATAGCGTGAAGTTCTTGCCGTCGAACTTCGTGGAGATACCATCAAAACGTCCTGAGTCCATCCTGAGAACGCCGCCAAAAGAAACCACAAACAGACGAGCACGACAACAATAAAGTAGAAAAACGAACGGCGAACAAAAGGAAAGAAGAAGATTTCCAGGGAACCGAGATTAACACCCAAGTCGCCGCCACACACAAGCCTGAGACGAAGTATAATCCTGAGACTAATCAAAGGCTGGATCTCAGCTCTAATACCATGTCAATTTAGCTAAAGAAACGAAAGAACACGAAAGTTTTTTAACGTGGTATCGTCGTTAGACACTAGTCCACGAAGAGGATCTCCCTCTCAGGTTTTAGGTATTATTATTCGACGTAAACTCTTCGGTACAGGCACAATAGTTTATATAGGTTTGCTCACACCAACCCCTAGCTACATAACCTATACGAAGGTTATTTACAATAAGGTCCTCATATAATTAACACTACCCGCACTTATGTGGGTGAGTAGATTGCGGGTGACGCGAATAACCCGCACTATATCTTCACTTGACAAAATATTTTTTCTTATGCTATCTAATATTCATCGTATTTTCTAACCACCCTAAACAATGACCATCTACTGCTAAAAAATAGAGAATAAATAATGGTTTTGGACTACTATTATTGGTTATTGTATTGTGTAATATCCATTAGATATTTGATGCAAATTATAATCAATTAATTTTATCAAAGTCTCTAAATGCATTGGTTTTCTCAATTTCTCTACACATGATAAAGTTGAGAAAATTTTGATACAAATACTACATGGATTCAAATGAGACAAAGTGGGAAGTGTCTAAATTGATACAATCTTACTAATTTACAAGGAACTTATCATAAATGTTAGTAAACTTTCTTAATGGCTAGTTAGAGAATTGTTATTTAGGCTTAACCCACGACCCAACCCAACCCGCAGAAGAATGTGGGTGGATAGCGGGTCACAATTATACCAACTCACTAGTAAGCGGGTGAGTCAATTTGATACCTACCGAACTCACCCATTGCCCACCCCTCCCATTTATTCATGCTGCAATTAATATTCACGCAATTTAAAGACTATTGCGGCCAAATCGTGTCCAAAATTGACTTTATTACTCATCTTATTCATTGGTGGAGTCAGAAATCTGAATAAAGAAACTAATTTGAACCGGTATAATTGCGGAAGGAACTAAAACTTTATCGAGTACTTTATTTTCTAAATTCATTACGAAGTAGTTTTACCTATATTTTAAAATTGAAATATCTATAACTCCTTCCATCTTCAACCTAACTTTCTCTTATCCATAATGTATGTAAAATTGACTGTGATCGATATTTCTAAGCCATCATGAAGTTCTGTTGATCATCAATTGTAATGATTATTAATTGATTAATTTAACTGTCTAACTCGGTTCTTCCATTGATTATCTTTATTTCATTTGGTGGTGGAAGTCGCCATTTTTGCCAGCAAAGCTTATTTGGAATGTTATGGAAAGCGAGGCGCCGTCGCATGTGGGCAATAATTAATACCCACCTTGACTTTATATGCATGCAAATAAATGCTTTTGGCTTTTACAATTTCTTCTGTTTAATTACATTAAAAAAATCATCATATAATACAATTTACCTACTACAAATAAAATGAAACCGAGTGACTGACTCGGTCAAAGTCAACCGATCACCTCACCACCGTCACCGGCCCATCAACAATATACCCGTCGGTGGCGTCTCTACATCAGCCCATCACAAATGGGCCAAGCCCAATAAACAATTATATTAAATCACCGAAGTCCAAGGTTTCAACCTAATTAGTTGCTGAGACCCGCCGTGAACTTCACTCCCGTGGCCGGGAGCCAGGACCCGCCGTCGATGAACTGCCCCACCGTGAAGAACCTGGCCGTGGCGGCATCCTTTATAATGTGGTATCCGGGCCACTTGACCCGGCCCGAGAGTGAAGCCCCCGGCCCGTAGTTCTTGTACTCACCGTACCACAATGTACCAAGCCCAAAGTTGCCGAACCACTTGAGCCACCCTCTGGGCTGGACCGAGCCGCTCATGTAGGTGTTCATGAACACCGTCCTCGAGTACTCCTTCCAGGGCCGGCCCAGAAACGTGGGCTGCGTCGCGTAGACGAAACTGTCCTGGATTGAGAACCCCGTGCTCTGGTGCGGGCTCTTCCTGCCCTGGGCCGTGATGGTGACCTTCTGCATGGGGAGAGGGACCCGGGTGTGTATCTTGCAGTTCTGGAACACGGCTGCACCGTTACCAAAAATGTAGTCTATGGTGCCGTAGATTTCGCACTCGCGGTAGAACTGACGCAGAGAATGGGCGTACAGGGTGTCCTGATAGCCTTCCATGCTGCATCTGTAGAATGCAGATTGGTCCGAGTCGACTCTTAGGGCGACTGCTTGGTGGTTCGCTGGCCCAGCCGTGTTGCGGAATGTTATGTCTCTTGCTATGAACCCCTTCCCGGAAACGGCTACACATGGATATGGTCATGTAACATGGTTAGCATGATGTGGCTAAGTTGCACAAACTTGAATCTTGGTGGGGGGCTTATTTTGCAAATCCCAAAATCTTTAGTGACTAAAAAGTGGTGAGAAAGAAACTTGAGGGGGGCTAAAAAATTTGGGGAAACTTACCAAATGTGGCAGTTCTGAAAGTTGTCCAACCTTGCATGAAGTTACGGTTCCCCGTCACAATGGTCTGTCCGATGCCTTCTCCAACAAGCATGATGTTTGTTTTCTTCTTCTTCAAGTCAATGTTCTCACGGTAAATTCCCTTCTTGATGAAAATCACGTACCTCCGGATGCTATGCGGCGGAGCTCGGTCGACGGCGTCTCCAATTGTCCTGAAATGGCCGCTCCCATCTAGTGCCACGACCGCATCAATCCGCATATCACGAGGATTGCTCTTGACCGCCTTCCGGTCGCTCTGTACCATCCAGTCGGGGAACTCGGGGCTCGAGTTGGTCACTACGGGCACTGGAGGATGGTCTCTGGTCGATGGTGCTGCTCGAAAGGGCATGGTGTGAAGCTCGGTGTACAGAGCTAGGACGTTGCCGATGAGCTGGGTGACCTGCTTCAGGCTCCCCCTGATGAACTTCTCTACGTGCCTGTCCGTGCCTTGGAACCCTTCGAGGCACGTGTCCTGATTACTCAATGCAGCGCTGAGCCATGCCTTGAGGTTTCCTTCCGAGCTCTCAAGGATGGGCTCGCCCTGCTGCTGCTGTTGTTGTTGGGCAACACCAGCAGCACGAGCACGAACCATGTTCATCTCTGCCAGGGACCAAGCCAGCTCGGAGACAGAAAAGTCGAGGAGCTCCTTGCAGTCCTCGACGGCCACCTGCTCCCTGTAGCTGAACGACAAGGCGGTGAACTTGGTCATCGTGTCAATGGCCGATCTCGCCTCTTTCAGTGTGGACCGCATTGCTGCAGTCAGGATCGAGGCAGGGGTATGCCTGGATCCTCCATCGTGATGTTCCTGCAAACTTGCGACGCAAGTTTCTCGATTCACGACTCCGGCACATGCCTTCTCCATCCATGCTTCCGCCGAGAAGTTGTGGATGACTGATGTTGGCCTAGCGACCGGGATCGATGCATCGTTCTCGGATGAAGCGGCTTCAAGGGAAGGTGCTAGGGTTACAATGAATAGGAAAATGGCAAAGGCTGCCATCTTTTTCATGAGAGAGAAGGGGAAAGAAGAAAGGATCAACACACTATGGAATGGAGAGATTATTTGTTTATGTGATCTTTTCATGAATGGAGAAACACTTATAGGCGGGCATGATAAATGGGGAAGGAATTGTTTAGTGAGGAAGGAAAGACCGAAAGAGGCTAAACAGTGTGCAATAGGCTTTCCCTTTCGGCCATTAGAATACCTTTCTTTTCGTCCTTCTTTCCAGAGTCCCACGTTATGCTTTCTTTCTCAACTCCACTTTAGCCTCCTATTCTTGCTTGTTCCAGTTATAGCTTACAAGCATTCATCAAGCTTTCTACAGATTCGTATCAGCTCCTTCACAGTACAATACAAACTTGAACCACAGGGTCCAGAATTAGTACGTAGTTGATTACAGAAAGCACGACTCAGTGTCCAGAATTAGCAAGTGATTAGGCATTATTACATTACAATAATCAAAGATGGATGAGGTGCAACAAAAAGATAACTCCCTGCTAGCACCTATTATCCCAAGGGCACCCTACCCTCCAACCAAGGACAGCACAATGAAACACACCTGGTTCTTCTCTCAAAAGTTCCCTCTTATTACTTAATAATACAGCCGCAGATTAGCCTCAACAACACAAAACACCATCAACTTGTACAACAGAGAGAAGAAGGGGGAAAAAAGACTAAAGCTGGAACTGGAACTGAAAGGGGTTTTTTTTTATAGCTAATCCCACCTGATTATGCAACCCTTAGCATGCAATATCTCGAGTATCTCCGACGAAAGCAAGAGCCTGAGTTCAGAGACCATCTTCACCTTCTTGATTCGAACACAACAAGCCCTCAACGCGAGCTCGAACCCTTCCACGGTAATGTTCGGTAGGTGCACCAGCTTCGCCTCTTGCAGCCGAGTCAAGTTCCCCATCACCATGCACAATGTTACATCCGAGATGTTGCAGTTGCTCAAGTTTATCTGCCATTGATTGATGCACAAATTTCAGGAGATGCTTCTTTACAAAACCGCACCGCACCGTTATATCTAATTGGACTCCGTATGAAATTGAATCCCTACACATCCTTAATTTTGTACACATATGGTTTCATTTCTCACCTGGCGCAAGTTGTGAGAGTAACATGCCAGAGCCCAGAAACCCGAATCATCGATATTCTCACAGTGCTTCAAGTCAAGATCAGCCAGTCGCTTGGACATGGCTGCAAAGGCTGCTAACCCAATGCCCGTGACATTGTGGAGACCTCGCATCTCAAGGTCGACCAGTTCACCCAAAGAGCCAAGAGACTTCATCCCTCTATCAGTGATCTCTATGCAGTATGAGATGTTCAGCTTCTTCAGTTTCTTGCAGCCATTTGACAATGCAGCTAGAGTTTCATCTCCAATGCCAGTGCAGCTGCAATAACAACCAACACAAATTTCATTTACTCTCTGTAGCCACTGTGGTGTAATGTTTTCATTCAATATATACTAGGTTTCTTTCGTTCAAATTACCGGTATAGATCTAGTTCACAAAGCTCCGAACAGTTGGCGGCGATATAAGAAAGCCCCTTGTCTGATATGGTAAAACAGAGCCCCAACTTTAAGCTGACAAGCCTTGAGCATCTAGAGAGGCATTCAAGCCCTGCCGATGAGAAAGAACAGTTGTTGCAATCAGCTTCATATAGCAAAATACTCTGCCATCGAACTTTGACTTTGGATAAAAGTGTCAACGAAGTTAGGTTGTTAAACTAATATAAATAGAGATTAGATTTCCGTTCATCTCCATCACCTCTCCAGTCATTTCCGCTATCAAACCTAATAGCTAATAATAGGATTAGGATCTACATTACCTATTTTATTATTAAGTTTGGTCAGTTCACAAGCGAATATAGACAAACAAGGACAGCAACTTGGCGGAGATGGACAAAACGAGTATCATGTTGTTTATGCCAAATTTAAGTGACAAGCTCGCTAAATCAAAGTTCATTGATTGCTTTGTTGGTGACCCCAGAATTTAGTGACTGTTTTTAATGAAGTCTACCTGAGTCATTTATGCCACTGCAATCAGTGAGATCAACCTCCTCGAGCAACAAACACGATGATGCAAGTCGTTCAAGACCCTTTTCAGTGACCATATAACAAGCTTCCAACTTCAGGCGTACCAGGCTACTGCAAGAGTCAGCCACAGCACAAACTGCAGCATCAGTAACTGAGCCACAGCACGTCAGATCAAGAACTTTCAACTTCTGATGGCTGGACACGAGCTGCAGAATTCCCACATTCGTCACTCCTATACATTTGCTCAACCCTATCTCGATTAATGACTTGCAGTTGGAGCTGATTGTCTGGAGAACAGTATCGGAGACTTGAGTCCCATTGATTATGAGTGTGGTTAGATTCTTCAAGAGTTTTAGACTGTCCAGAAGAGCTGCAGAAAGTTCCTTGAAACAGCAGATCGATTAATATACTTCTCAATGCTAAACAAAGTAAGAAGATAAGCAGCAACAAACTATTACACGCTTACAGGAAGATAACCAGCGATGATCCGCATAAGGTTACAATGTGCACGAATTAAGGAGACCAATCCAGACGAACTAACACCTTCACACCTTGATATATCAATTTCCTACACCACGTGGGAAACACACTCAAAAAACACATCCTACTTGCATCAAATGATCACAATGTTACCTCATTTCATTTTATAACATACCTTCAATGAATGGCCTCTAGAAAGGAATTCCAGCCCAGAATCATTGACCAGAGGACAACCCACCATTGTCAAACCTTCCAATTTCGGCAGAGAAGCAATCGAACAGAGTGATTCATTCGTCACCTAACAACCAATCCATCCCAAGTACCAACCGTTGATTACTACTAGTGCATCACATTATCAAAACTGACTTCGATGTCTATACCAATAGCCATAGTTTAAAGCTTCTCTGTAAGCTCAAAACTAGCAACCAGCTCAAATTAAGACAGGAATGGACACAGAATATCAAATTAAATTCACTGCTTCCAAACCTTGAGATAAGATATGTCAAGAAACTTCAAACTCCAACACTTGACGCTGAGCAAATTAACACCCAGATCAGATATCTCCATGCACCATTTCAAGCTGAGCTTCTCCAGTTTCTGGCAACCGACAGCAATCTTCACCAGCCCAACATCGGTTACTTCCAAACACTTATCCAACCTCAGCTCCTTCAGCCCTTCAATCCCTGAAATGGCCGCCGCCTCTCGATCCCCAAGCCGGCAGTTGTACGAAACGTCGAGTTTCTCCAGCTGCGAACACGCCGAAGCAATCAGCGCCAGGCCCTTAAACGACATCCCGTTCGTCGCCCTGCTCAGATTCAGGGACCTCAAGTTCCAACTAAGCGACGCCGTCGTCGAAGCGGCGCCGCGAGCCAGCAGCAGTGTCAGCATCCCGTCGTCGACCCGCGGGCAGGCGGAGAGATCCAGGGCGTCGACGTTTGGGAACTGCCGGAGTAGAGAGAAGATGAACTCGGACCGCAGGACCCGGAGAGATTTTCGGGTCAGGGAATCGACCCGGAGGAACTCCTTGCACACCAGTCGCCACGACCTCCGGTCGGCGCCGTCTTCGATTCTGGAGTTCACCCTAACTAGCAGGTCCTCCGTCAATACTGCCAGAATCGACATTGGAGGAAATGCCGATTTGTACGTTATTCGAATTGGACCGGAGAAATTGCAATTTGAGATTAGCAATGAGAGGTTTTGTGAACTCTGGCGATGTAATTGATCGCCGGCGAAGGGGGGGGGGATGAGGTAGAGAGGGAGAGTGATGGAGAATTTAGGTGGGGACGAAGAGGAAGAGGAGGCGGAGGTGGAGGAGGAGGTGGCGGGAGGGTTTGGAGAGGATGCGGGAGAGGACGAGACAGATCTTACGGATCCGACTCATTTCGGCGGCGGCGGAGACCGGCTCACCGGAGAATGGAAGCAGCAACGGCGGCAGGGGAGAGCGGAATGAGGGAGATTTTGGATCTGGAAAGGAAGTGCAGTGATAAGTAACAGAGAGATAATAGTTATCAGGTGGGAGGGGAATCTTGTTTTTAATATAGAAGGAAGGGGGGAAGTAATCAGATGCGGCGGCGACCAAAACGGACGAGGGGAGGGGAGGGAAGGGACGGGAGCCCTGGGATTGCCTAGTGGGACCTGCGAAGGACCACGTGGCAGGAAGGTAACGGCGTGATGAAGCCTGGTAACGCGAAGGGGAAAGATTCCCCGGGAAAAGGATTGAAAATTCAGATCACTTCCGGGGGAGGTGGCAGACCGTACGGCGTGGGAGAGGGCCCGGTTTGTCCGGATGAAAACGTGAAAGGACGGACCGTACCTATCCGCCGGTCCGGAAACAAGCCGTTGTTTTGTGCTTGCTCGGGTTGACGTGGCACTACTCTCGTTGTTTACCTATTTGTGTGTATAATTCGGTTTTAAAAGGATTTAATTTCATACTGAATTCCTCAAAATCTTATAGAATATAATTATGCTTTGTTATATTTGATTTCAAAAATGTATTATTACACATCGTTTATATTTTTACTAGGATGGGATTGTGCTTTGCCGCAAGGCTAATTAACCATTGCGTTGTTGTGGTTGCCTCTTGAAATTGATTCTTTTTATGTTGATGTATTTACAATGACAAATTTTGTGAAAATGACCATTAGTATTTTTGGTAGAAAAATGAGTGATTGTTTATTGATAATTTTTATTTGATTGATAAAAAATAATAATTTTTTATTTTATATATATATATATATATATATATATATATATATATATATATATATATGTATATGTACATACAGTGGCGGATACATGGGTCTTTAGGGGTGTCCCGGGACACCCCTAAAATTTGGGAAAATGATTATCCAACTCCCGGTGGTAGTTTCGTATGGATAAAAAAAAAATTATAATTGGTAATCCGGGACATCCTTAAATTTTGAAAAACGATTATCCTGTCCTCGGTAGTAGTTTGCGTATGATTAAAAATATATAAGTAGTACTCTGTGTTATTCAAACCTAGGACACTACTATTATTAAACATATTCTCTAGGTTGCAACTCATTTGTTGTTTTATTTTAAACACTATGTTATAGTAAAAACACTCTTCTTTATTTCCAATTATTTTCAAAACCTAACAATTAAACTCATTCGAGTTATCCTTAATTTGAATTTATTTTATAGGTATAGTGCAAGAGTTGAAAGATTCTTTCCAGTTTGAGTTACATCAGGAACAAGGTTAGAAATCGAATATGCAATCAGTTCAGGAATTATTGTCTAATATGGTATATTTGCACTAGTCGAATATTTTTTTATTTATGAATTATTTAATTTAATTTTTGGAAGAGGACACCCATATAAAAATTTTCTGGATCCGCCACAGTGTACATACTGTAAGTTTCTTGTATAACTAAAGAAAATTTTAAGCTAGATGAGAAAGAAAAAGTATAGAGAGAGAAACAAAGAGAATACAAAATGGATTTATCTTAACATTCCATATGTTCAAATACTAGTAGGACGGAAACAATACCTACTAATAAGTAGGAAAAAAATCTATGTTATTTTAATTGAAATGGACATTTGGATAGAAAATTTAGTGGTTCATGGTTCAACAATTAATTATTATAGACATGTTTTTTTTTTGACAGAAACCTGTAATCAAATCATTGAACAGAGTTAGCTGCTACATCATCCAGCTTAATCCGATCAACTAAATAAATTGGCGGTCGGTCCAACCAAACGATCCGCTCGTCCCATCTAGTGCGAGCGTGTGCCATAATATGAGCCGCTTCATTTGCCTCCCTGTACGTGTGAGAGAAGCTTCCCCGTCGGTCCTCCACCAGCCTTCGAATATTCCGACACACCACTCCCATCTCCGAGCGAGAGTAAGACTGCTCTGTCAAAAGTCGCACCAGCTGCAAACAATCCGTCGCCATGATAGGGTTTTGGACGTTAAATTGTTGCGCCAACTGAGCTCCCATCTCCAAAGCCATTGTCTCTGCCAATTCCGGTGTGAACTGCCCACGAACCATCTTTGCTGCTGCTAGGATAAACTTCCTGTTCTCGTCCCTCATTACCACACCCAAACCGATCCCCCCTTCTTGTAGAACCCCAGCATCCGTGTTAACCATAACTCGGCCCCTTGGAGGTTTGCACCATTTCTTCTCGTCAGTTGAGGGCGGCGGCGGTGTACACCTCTCCTGATGTTGCCGATAGTCTTCCAGGAAATGCCACGCCCTGTCCACGATCTCTTCTTCTGCCGTCTTCAGCCCATTGAACAAGTGAGCATTGCGCTCTTTCCAGAAAAACCAGAGCAGCACGCTCCATTCGGCGAAACGTTCCTCCCCCGCCTTCTCCATCGCCTTCTTCAGCCACTCCACCGTCGAACCTGCCCCATGCAGCGCATACAGATCGGCATAGCTCGACTTCCTCCAAATTCTCGAACTTCAGGGACATTCCACAAAGGCGTGCTTTTGAGTTTCATACGCATCACAGAACGGGCACTTATCAGACCACTTCTCACTTTTCTCGCTGACTCGAGCCCCAGTTGGCAGAATTTCTTGAGCTAACTTCCACAGGAAATGGCGCACCTTTGGCGGCACTTTCATGCCCCATAACTGCTTCCAGAACCCTCCTTCTTCCGACCCCTGCAACCCCTGCCCCACCAAAAATTGCTCCAGCCATACTCGGTACCCCTCCCTCACCGAGTACTCCCCATCTACAGAATGCTGCCATATTAATTCATCTTGCTCCCCTGGCCGAACAGGGATCGCCCTAATAGCTTGGACGATGTCAACCGGGAAACAACTCTCTAGCACGTTCAGGTCCCATGCATCCTCATCCGAGTCCAACAGCTCACTCACCTTCGCATCCACAGGGAGCCCCATCGGGGCCGACTCCACAAAGTGCCCTGACAGAGACGGGATCCACTTGTCCCCCCAAACTCGAACCTGACTTCCGTTACCTATCCGCCATCTCAGACCAGCCCTAAGGAACTCCTGTGTGCTCAATAAGCTTCGCCACACAAAGCTCGGCCTATACCCTAGCTCTGCATCCAATATAGAGGTATGTTTGTGATATTTCGCACGCAGAATGCGGGCTACGAGCGACTCCGGCTGCTTGAGAAGCCGCCAGAGTTGCTTCGCCAAGAAAGCCATATTAAAGCCTCGTAGCTCTCTTATCCCCATTCCACCCATGTCCTTCGAAATAACCAGTCTCTCCCGCCTGATCCAATGCGCTTTGCGCTCCTCCCCACGCTGGCCCCACCAAAACCGCGTAATCAAACTGTGTACCTCATCAATCACCCCCTCCGGAACTTTGAATACCGACATCGCGTAGTTAAGTTGGGCTTCAGCCACTGATCTAATTAACACTTCTCTAGCTGCCACAGAAAGAGTTTTTTTCCTTCCAACCCTTTAGTTTCTTCCTTATTCGCTCCACAATATCTGCAAACAGCTCTTTTTTGGAGCGGCCTGCCTCTGTTGCCAACCCGAGGTATTTGTGATGCTTTTCCACAACCTTCATGCCCAAGATACCTCCGATTTCCCACTTCTTATGGGGAGACACATTCTTACTGAAAGAAACATCCGATTTTTGAAAACTCACCTGCTGTCCCGACTCTTTTTCATAGTCAAGTAGAATACCCTTCAAAGCCAAGCTCGCTGGGACGGTAGCTCTAGTAAAAAATATGCTGTCGTCGGTGAAAAACAAGTGAGAAATGATCGGAGCTCCCTGAGCAGGGCGAAAACCCTGAAGTCGTCTTTGCTCAACTGCTAACGATGTGTAAGCAGATAACCCCTCCGCGCACAGCAGGAACAGATAGGGCGAGAGAGGGTCCCCTTGCCGAATTCCTCTCCCCGGAATAAACACTTCTGATTTATGCCCATTCACTAGAACTGAGTACGATACCGTCGTTACACACAGCATAATAATCTTGACCCACTGGTCGGCGAAGCCCATCTTTTTCATTATTCCTTCCAGGAAAGGCCACTCCACCCTGTCATACGCCTTTGCCATATCAATTTTTGCAACGAGGAACCCTGTCTTGCCCTTAGTTTTCTTACTCATCGTATGGAAACATTCGAACGTGGCCATGATATTGTCCGTGATACACCGCCCCGGAACAAAAGCTGACTGGGCCGCCGAAACAACTTTATTCAGCACATTTTTCAAACGATTAGCCAGTACCATCGACACCAGCTTGTAGATCACATTGCACAGCGAAATGGGTCGAAAATCTTTGGGCATGCTCAGCTCCTTCACCTTTGGTATCAAGGCAATGACCGTGTAATTCACCTCCTCCGGCATTACTCCCTCCTCAATTATCTGCTTGACTATTTGATAGACATCATCGCCTACAATTTCCCAGTACTTCCTATAAAACATAACCGACAGCCCGTCCGGACCTGGGGCTTTGCGTTTTCCCATCTGTTTCAATGCTTTTACCACTTCATCCCTCTCAACCGGCCTTAACAGCATCAGATTATCTTCCCCCGAAATTGTTGGTTTCACCGCGTCTAGGACTGGGGTGCGACTGGGAATGCCGCCGGCCATAAACAGCTCCGAGTAATAATTACGCATGCACTGGAGCGCACGGTCTGTCCCCACGAACCATTCACCATTTTCACCTTTGAGCTTACGAATCATGTTCCTTCTGCGTCGGGCTGAGGCTTTCCGGTGAAAAAAATTTGTATTTCGATCTCCGCCCTTCAACCAGTCTGCCCGCGATCTTTGTTTCTAGTACAACTCCTCATTTTCCTCAACCTCCGCCATCTCACTTTCTAGTTGCCTGATTTGGTCCAGTACCCCTTCTGTTTTTGGTCTTCTTTCTAACGCACGGATCGCCCTTCTGATCCTTCGCTTCTGGTCAGAGAAACGGGGGAAAGTTCTCCTGCTCCATTCTTCCAACTCCGTTCGACAAGCTTCAATCTTCCCCCGAATGTCCATCGACACCTGCGGCTTCCAAGCTTCTTTCACCACATCCTCACAGCCCTCATGGTTTGCCCATAGTGGTTCAAACCTGAAAGACCACCCCCAGCTAGGCTCATCGTCTTCCTCTCCACGTGTATCACATATGATGGGGCGATGATCCGATCGTGATCGATCAAGATGTGTTACTCGAAAGTTCACATTTTCACATTTCCATCTCTCCGAGCCCACAAATCTATCCAACCTCTCTTCGATATGGGCCCCTTCACCTCGTCGATTCTCCCACGTGTATTTATATCCTCTGAAGCCGAGATCATGGAGGTCCACATCAATTAAGCTCTCTGCAAATTCAATCAAATTATTCCCCTGGTCCACTCGGCCCCCACTCTTCTCACTTTCCGAAAGTATTTGGTTGAAATCACCCCCACACAACCAGGGCAAATTCGTTTGGTTGCCCAGATGACGAATTAGTTCCCAAGTCTTGTGTTTAGCCGAGTTCTCCGGCCAGCCATATATACCTGTGAATCTCCATGGATCCCTTCCTTCCTCCTCCACTCTTGCATCAATATAATTTGCTGTCACCATAGTCGGGACTAGCTTCACTTCCTCCTTCCACCACAAGCATAGTCCCCCAGCCCTCCCATTCCGAGACACATCAGTAGGGAAGCTTCTTCCCTCAGCAAAATCAAGCTCCTTCTGCAACACTTCATTCTCAGTACAGGTCTGCTTCGTCTCCATTAGAAAGACGATGTGCGGGGAGACATGTCGCAGCAGCGACTTTAATGCTTTAACTGCCCGCTTGCTCCCCAACCCGCGGCAGTTATAGCTTAGAATTCTCATCTATCACCCAAAGGGGATAGGTTCCCCGCACCTTTTAGTTGAGCTTGTTTACTCGACGTCGCCGCCGAGGGCTTCGCCGGTGGCTTCTTACTCTTCCCGAGATTCTCCCCGGTCTTGCTACTTATGTCCCCCGTTGGTCTCACATTTGTACTCTTTGGCTCGGCTGGGTGTTGATCACTCCCCGTGAGAGCTTTCCTACTAGTCTCACCCTCTTTCCCATTCTTTTCCAATATCGAAACACCCCTCCCTCCTCCGGCAGTCTTCATCTCCTTCCCTTGTGTCACCTTACTCCCCGGAAGGTTCGCTAGCTCCTGAACTATCTCAACATGCTTTAACTTCGTCTCACTCGCGTCACCCCCGTCAACTGCCGCCGGGTGCATTTCTCGGTCCTCGTGTACCGGCTCCTTAGGCAACTCAATCTCCATTTTGTTACCCTCCGGCTCTTCCATTGTTATCTCCTCGTCCACCTCCTCACTCAACTCCTCTTCCCGGTCTTCCAGGTTTCGAAATCTCGACCCATCATTTGGATGATCCACCCCCTCCTTTCCTCTTCCAACTCTCATTCCCGATCCTACATTCTGTAATTCCCTTGGTTGACGCTGGCCTCCGGTACCCTTTCTATTCTTTGGTCGGGCCACCATCCATTCCCCGTAAGCCGCCTCCTCCGTTTCTCCCCTTCCCTCCGAGATCCCCTCATCTTGTTTTTCCATCGGCTGAACCACGTTCAGCTTTGGGCAGCTCTTCTTCACATGGCCACAGCGTCCACACTCGCTGCATATTATAGACATGTTGGTAAGGGTTTTATGAAATCGTCCATACTAGTTAATTATAATACATATTAATATTATACTAATTAGGGTCGGACGAATACGCCAAAGATTGAAATGAAGAAAGCGAGATAAAGGGCAATTGAAAAATGAGACGAAGAGGAAGTAGAAAACATATTTTATTAATCCTTAAGTTTTTCATGTTCGCCCTCCCATTATATTTTTTTAGTTGTTACGTTTTTTTTGGAACAACATTAAACCGGTGAACCACTTAGATCAAAGCGATTCTTGTGTTGGACAATTACAAACAGTCGATTAGTGTATATATGACTGATCCA